GAGCAGCACGACGCCTCTATCACACACACTCACACACTCACACACACACACACACACTCACACTCACACACACACACACACACTCACACTCACACACACACACACACACTCACACTCACACACACACACACACACTCACACTCACACACACACACACACACTCACACTCACACACACACACACACACTCACACTCACACACACACACACACACTCACACTCACACACACACACACACACTCACACTCACACACACACACACACACTCACACTCACACACACACACACACACTCACACTCACACACACACACACACACTCACACTCACACACACACACACACACTCACACTCACACACACACACACACACTCACACTCACACACACACACACACACTCACACTCACACACACACACACACACTCACACTCACACACACACACACACACTCACACTCACACACACACACACACACTCACACTCACACACACACACACACACTCACACTCACACACACACACACACACTCACACTCACACACACACACACACACTCACACTCACACACACACACACACACTCACACTCACACACACACACACACACTCACACTCACACACACACACACACACTCACACTCACACACACACACACACACTCACACTCACACACACACACACACACTCACACTCACACACACACACACACACTCACACTCACACACACACACACACACTCACACTCACACACACACACACACACTCACACTCACACACACACACACACACACACACTCTCTCTCACACACACACACACACACACACACACACGCCGCAACATCTGCATGCTGATGAGAAAAACACTTCATTTCATGAACATGTTAAAGAGCCGATCACTGCTGAGAGGACTTGTTTTAGGTAGAAGATATGATTGTTTTTTTTGGCTCGGAGGGACTGTTAAACTAGTCTAATGACAGGAAACTTACTGAGCAAATAAAAATGCATTACAATCTGAGAGAACATATCATTATTATTCCGTATTTACGCAGTGGAATGTTTTATGGCATTATACTATTTGTCAAGTTTGAAATAACTAAGATTTTTTAATGTTTCTGAAAGTAGGCTCTTCTGCTCATCAAGGCTGCATTTATTTTAACAAAAATATGGTAAAATTGTGAAATATTATTACAATATATTATTGTATTATTAGCTGTTATTAGCTGTTTTCTATGTGAATATCTGTTAAAATCTAATGTATTTCTGTGATGTGCAGCTGTATTTTCAGCATCATTACTCCAGTCTTCAGTGTCACATGATCTTCAGAAATCATTCTAATATGCTGATTTGCTGCTCAAGAAACATTTCTGATTATTATCAATGTTGAAAACAGTCGTGCTGCACAATGTTTTTGTGGAAACCGTGATACGCTACCCTACAAAAAAAAAAAAAAATTATTATTGCATTAAATTGATAAAAAATGACAGAAAAAGCCATTTATAATGATGAAATAAATGCTGTTCTTTTGAACTTTCTATTCATCAGTGAATCCTGAAAAATAAAACGTATCTCAGTTTTCACAAAAAACATGAAGCAGCATCTTTTCATCAAATATACTTAATCAGAAATGTGAAAATTGAAAAATAAATAAATAAACAAACAAATTTTGTATGTAATATAATGTGATTCATTATATGAGTGACTTTTTCCCCAAAATTAAAGACATTATATTTTGCATAAAGAAAATGAAACCTAAAAGTTTTAAATGGTCCTAAAAATAGGCTCAAAATATTTTTTCTGCCATTTTAATACTAACAAGCATCTTTTTCATCCAATTTTTTTGCTTAAAATTTTAAAATTTTAAAGCAGCAAAAGTTTTTTTCATCATTGATAATAATAAGAATGACTGATGTTGATCACCAATAATAACTGATAAAAACTAAGCAGCAAATCAGCATATTAGAATGATTTCTGAAGATCATGTGACACTGAAGACTGGAGTAATGATGCTGAAAATACAGCTGCGCATCACAGAAATAAATTACAGTTTAACAGATATTCACATAGAAAACAGCTGTTTTAAATAGTAAAAATATTTCACAATTTTTACTGTATTTTTGATCAAATAAATGCAGCCTTGGTGAGCAGAAGAGACTTCTTTCAAAAAATATCTGAATTCTTCTTTTGCACCATCAGCTGAACCAATGCGATGCTCAGCATGTAAAGCGCAGGCGTCTCGTTCAGTCCAGCTGCCGCGTGTGAATCTCTGAAATAACTCTGATGAGTCTGCTTGTGTCATTATTCTGCGTGATTGGGGTTCAGAGGTCTGCGGCTCCCTGAGGTTCAGACGTTAATCTCACACCACACCTGCCTGTAATTTAGCTGCTAATCCCTGCAGAAGCCTCTTTTCCCTCCATTATGAGCTTTATCCAGCTACGTGAGATGCGCTCGTCCACACCGCAAATTACATGCAAATACAACCTCTTTCTGGACAATGAAACCCTCGTCTGCTGACCTGCGGGAGTCAATCCGCTCATGCTGCATGTCTGGAACAGCAGACAGTGCACTGCTTTATCAACGACCAATACTGACATCTAAAGAGCACAGTGGCCGATTGTCAATGCTAAGTCCATGTATATGTGATATGGTCTCATGCAATATTTTATTATATCAATGGAAATGCATACATATAGGGTACAACGGGGCTAAAGGCACCCCAGGGTAAAAGGCGCCTTTGATAATATTTTCATCTAAACCTCTAGATGGCACAAAAACGTGGCGTAGCACTTTCCAAAACATCCGCTTTTCAAGATGCACGTGTATATTTGTCTGATCCTTGACGCGATCGCGCGCAGCAGCGCAAAGTTGATTCTGTGCTTACTTGATCTAATATTTTAGGTTTTTTTAAATGTTGTAGATTTATGTAGCAAATGAGAATCGCTAAAATTAATGCATCTATTTTGAGACAGGTCTTCTTTATGATTTTCAGTTTTGTTTAAGATAATTAAAGCAACAGTTTTTAAATAACGAAAAGAATCTATAAAAGTATGGTATTTGGGGTAAAAAGCGCCCCTGCTGTTGGGGCTAAAGGCGCACAGTAATTAACATGACAATTAATAGATGGCTGACTTTTCCATTTGTTGACATGACATGGTTAGATTCAGATGGTAAATATCATATATTATGTTGGGTGTCCATATTACGAGATAATAACCATGTTTAGAAGGAAACCATCATATTTAAAAACATGATATTAATCATATCATTTGTTGTTACTACTGCAAATATATATTCAATTAGTACTGGATCTCCGTCAATACTTTCAGAATCTTTACTTATTAAAACGATTTTGTTTCTGTATTTTAAAATAT